AAATATCTTAGTTGTACTTATCTTAGTGTCTACAAATGTTGAAGGAAGGAGGAGGGAGATTAGGCAAATTTAAGACTGGTCAGTCTCACATTGCTGGTTTTAAACAGACACTCCTTAAATGATTACCATGTCTGCATGCAGTGTTCAGAAAAAATCTGACCCAATGGGTCAGAGGAGACATGTAATAGGAGAGAAAAGATTCCAAGCTCTTATTTAGTTTTTAGTTATGCATCAGACATCTGGTGGTCCAAGTGAGCATTCCTATAATTATAGTTACTTGGGAGTCTGATGCAGGGGGATTGCAAGTCTGAAGACAGTCTGGGCAACTTAAGACACCCTATTTTAAAGTAAAAAACTAAAAAGAGTTAAATACATAGTTAAGCGATGGAGTGAATCTGGGTTTAAGCCCCAACACCACCAAAATTAAAAAGTCCATCTATTTAGCAAAATCAGCCTCAGAGCCCCTGGTACACATTCATTTCCTGTCTCGTAGCTGAGACAAGTCGCATACACAAATACATAATAATGTGGAGGGAATTATAAAACAGTGTGGATATAAGGTGGTATGATTTATCATGAATGGTGGTGTAACAATAAAGTATTGTCCACCCTCTGAACCTGTTTATGTCCCTCTCATATGGAAAAGGTACTTTTCCACATCTATGACTCCTGGAATCTCATCCAGCCAAGATGTAAGATTCAGCTCAGGAATGCATGCCCTGCATCAGGGCCACATGTGGATAAGGTTGCTTGAATACAGCTCCTTGAACAAATTGCTTCTTGAGAAATGTGAAAAAGATTCATAGAACCTTTCATATCTAGCTGGACACTTGTTTGCTTCCATTGGAGACTGACTGTCTGCTTCACTGTTTTCTTCTATTATCTCTACTCTCTTGGCCCTAGGCTCTTTCCTGGAATCTGGTATCTGGGATCTTCGAGATCTTCTTTCCATATGAAATGTTCTATGGTTGCAACTGAGTGCCTTTCTCAACTGCTTCTAGTCACAGAAATGAGGATGCTTTGAATTCTCTTTTTTTTTCACATTTCTCTCTCTGTCCCCAGATGCTAACACATCCTTAAAACCTTTGTGTAAGTTTCCTACAATGATTGATTCCAGTCCAAAAGCCACACTTACAATTTTTTATTTTTTCCTTGCAGTGTCAGAATGCTGTGGAACAACTTTCAGGATTCTTAGAAGACTTGTTTTGTAGTTGAATCTCAAAGACAAATCTTAAATTTGTCTAAGATTTTACCTAATTCCAAGTGCACTTTCCAATCTCAGTTTGGGAAATGATCTCCTCTCTTCAGCTCACTTCCAATTCTACATAATGCTTTCACTCTGTCATCCAGCTGATTTTTGCAGCAACCTAGAAGATTTTATTTTCCCATTTCTCAAGTGAGAAAACTGAAACTTCAGAGGGGAGCTGTCAGTTGCCCGAGTTCATTGAGTGGGGTGTCCAGGGCACTTGAGGAAATGATTTTTGCAGGTACTCTCTCCTCAGAGGAAGACAGTACAGTAAGGAGGCTACTGTGGTCTTTGGGGCAGAACAAAATACTTTTCCAAACTATAGTTTCCTCTCTACTGTATCCTCTGCAGTCTCTCCACTTCAGAACTGCAGAGGTGCCTCTGAGTTTTATCTGACACTCATCCCTCAGCACATTCTATGCCATTTGAAAGCACTTTCACATCTATCATCTCATTTGATCTTCACAGCAACCTTGCAAAAGAGGCAAAACAGGCATAATTATGATCAGCACAAAGAAAAGGGGAATTCAGGCATGAGAAGAAACTCAAAGGCAAGTCAGCCTTGGAAAGTACAGTGTTCTGGGCTTGTTCTGAAAAGGTGAGTGCAGGACATAAGTTTGGTAACCAACACCCCTTGATTTTTAAAATGTGGAAATGGAAGGTCAAGGAAGAGAAAGCAAAGGGTAAGTCAACAGCTTCAAGGTTAGCCTTAGACTTCTCTTCCACAGTGTGGTGTGGACTTGCTCCTCTGTTTTCCTCACTCTGCAAGGCAAAGATAACTCATCACTCATAGGAGTTGGGAAATTTTACTGTGTTCCTTTTATAATTATCAGAGGCAAGCATCCAACTCTACCCTAAAAGTATCTGCCTTCCCATCACACTGCATCACTTGAGAGTGAATTGTGAGTCCCTTCCTCAACTTGGGAAAGTGAAGGCTGGTCATCAGTGAGGGAGCTCAAAAATCTGATCTCTGTATGTGATTCCAGGCTGAGTGAAGTGAACTACTTCATGAATGTCTACACCTGGACTCAGATTGAGAAAGGAATCACATTGCTGAAATCTTTAAATACAATCACTCTTAATTACAAAAACGGAAGAAAGCTCATAATTAGGAAAAAAAAAACCCTAAATTTGTGGAGCCCATCCGTGATTTACCTAACCCTATAGTTAGACCTGATCTCACTTTTTTTTCTACTTGCCCAGTCATACTTCTGTCTATCAGTCCATCCATTCACACAATCATTTATCTATCCATTCTTGTATCCTTCCATTTGCCTACATAATTATTTGTCCACCCATTCATCCTTCTGTTTTCCCCAGTCTTTTCTCTCCTTCCTTAATCTTAATCTCTTCCCAGAATCCAGAATAAAAATTCAAGTGCTCATTTGTTTATACACACTGTGATTTATTCACTCATTTATTTATTATATAAGTTTTCATCTCAATTATTTCTAACAATAGTTTGTATTTCTCTTCCTCTCGTCTACATTCCTTAGATGAGAAAATTAAGGTTCAAAGAAATTACATAATTTATTCAGCAACTGTTTGTTGAATTCTATGTTCTTTTTCCTTGAGGACTTTTATCCGTGGAATGTCAGCTGTGAGCTGTTTGTGATGATCAGCATTCTAAAATACTTTTCACTTCATTTCTTAAACACCCACCAAGCACTTATTGAGCAACTACTGTACTTTTATTTTACCCTACCTTGTGCCAGATAGACAACAGGAGCCAAGGCTCCAAGCACTATGGTACTTCAGTGGAAGGTTAGTACACAGAGCTGTAGAAAGACAATCAATATATTTTTAAGAAAAGGTAAACATAATAGTAAAAGCACATAAGTGCTTAGGAAAGCCTGGAAAGTTTGACAAAAAGAGGTAACACCTAAGCAAGTCCTTTAGAAAAAGTCATAATTTGCAAAGTAGAAGCTTCCAACAGATTTTTAAACAAAATTTTCATAGTAAAATCACTATGTAGAATTTTAAACAGGACAGATGGACAGAACTTACAGAGCAAACCATCTCACTCCCTCACTGCTCCCCCACATGCCTAAAACACCGTCTCCAGAGAGCTACCTCTTAACTGTATTTTAAGTGTTACTCCAGAATTTTGTAGCCATATGTAAGAAAATTACCCCATCAGGAACTGTAAATTTAGAATTTTCTAATTTTCTCATTTATCTTGTAGTTATTAGCTGGCATATTTAATAAAGAAAAGCATTCAAAAAATCAGTCAGATGAAATACAGTTTATTGTAAATAACAAAGTAAGTAATTGTTTCCTCCAGTCACCCAATTTCAAGGTAAGGAGCATGTATCCACCTGTCTTGTTCTGTCGTATGTCTTAGAACCATTATGAACTAGTACATTTTTATTCACACTATGTTTTACAAACAATCGTATCTATTTTTTCTGTTTAATATTAACAATATCCTAAACTCGGTCAGTGGAAGCTTCTATAAATTAGTTTCTGTAGCTTTTTTATAAGCTTTTCAACATTCTCGCTCCTGCTAAGACAAGTTTCATGTTTTGCTTTCCCTGCCCTCAATTTGGAACCACCACTGCTTCAACTGTGTTTTCTTTCAAGGAAGAACGGCACAAAGGAAATCAGGACAGGAGCTAAGTGAGCTCAGAACTATTAGCATGTCATATTTTTTCCTAGGCCCACCCATGAGACAAAACTAGAAAATACGGTTCTTTAATAAAATAATGAGTTCATGTTGATATTCACAATTGAAATTTAATATTACAAATTTTGTTCTTAATACCTCAATTCATATTTTTTTCCTCTTTTCATCTCAAACCACACCCTTTAGCTCCTCATAACACATGTATAATCTTCATTTCATATCCTAGAGCTCTGCCTCCATGGATTTAGCCAATAACATGTCAAATATATTTGAAAAACAAAATTTCTTCCATACTTGTGTACATTTTTTGTCATTGTAACCTAACCAATTTACATTGTATTAGATATTCTAAATAATCTAGAAATGATTTCAAGTATTTGGGAGATTATATAAGTTATATATAATACTTACTTCCATTATTTTTTTCTTACATGATACTGGGGATATGGAAGTTGAATTCAGGTTCTTTGCATTAAGTTACATGCATAATCCATTTAATTTTTTTTAAATTTTGAGACAAGTATCTCTAAGTTTCTTAATTACACAGGCTGGGACTGAGCTTGTGATCCTTCTGCCTCAGCCTCTAGGACTGCTGCATTTACAGGTATGTACCACCATACCTGGCTTACTATTCCATTTATGCAGAGAACCTAGAGTACTTTAGATGAGGTGTCCACTAAAGCTCACAGACACCAACACTGTGTTTCATATATTTGATTGACCTTATAAGTTACACTAAATAGTTATAAAATTATAATTACCTTATGAATATTAGTAATGATATTACTAAATGATGTTTAGGATTTCTTTATTGTCCTTAAGATACACACTCTGAAGATCATGTTTAAAAGCATCTTGAAATCTTTTCTCTGTGGTAATATTACAAATTTAGTATATAAGCAAGGTTGTTTATCTCATCTTAATTTCTATTTTTAGATTTTCTCTTTTCTTTACATTTTTGTGTATTTATGAAGTATGATCAAAAATATAGTGAATGCTGCCACTGTGTTTTAATCTTTCACCATATTTTTATTTATTTATTTATTCTTGTCTTTTTCATTTTTTATCGGTACCGAGGACCGAACACATGACTGCCTGCTTGCAAGGCAGGCGCTTATGCCACTGAGCTAAATCTCCAGCCCCTTCACCATATTTTTATGGTACTTCATATCCATCCAATGGAAAGACAGCTGATAAAAGCAATACGTTTAAAATGTCCTCAGCAAATTTACTCACTGGTTTCAGCACTGTGTGGTTTCTGGATCTTCTTCAAAGTCAGACAGCTAGGAAAATCAGTTTCTAAATGAATTCAGGACTCCAAGGCAGCCATGATAAGTTCAACTGAAGATGCTCCTAGGAGAGAATGCCAGAACATGACAAGAATCAGGGAATAAGTGTGTTCAAAGTGAGGGGGAATATTTTTGAGAGAGATTAATGGCAATGTGCCTTTTACTTTATATATATATATATATATATATATATATATATATATATATAACTTTATATATATTCAATTTAACCTTTCAACATATTTTTTTATCACACTTCATGTATTAGTTTCTAATGTATCGTTCCAGTGTTTCCTGTTTGTAAAAATAATACACATTTCCCATTGGCTTTGACAAAAAATGTAACATTATAAGCAGCAATCAATATCTTACATTTTTGCTAATCAAATATGCCAAAATTAGTTCAAAATCTGTGTGGAGAGCTCTTTTTATTTTAGTGTTTAGGGTTGTATGTTAATTTCCAGTGGAGACTGGTTTACTCATCATCTTTTGAATGATGAACATTTATGTTGTTTCCAGACATTTTGTGCTCAGAAACAGTGTCAAAATGATTATGTTTTCCTATTTATAGAAGTGTATCTTCAGGGTAAATTCTTAGAAGTGGATTTGCTGGTCAAAGGTTAAGTGCATGTGTGATTTTGTTAATAAGTGTAAAGTTTCTCTTTACAGAAATTGAACACATTAAACTTCTACCAACAACAGATGAGAATGACGGTTTTGCTGCAAACAATATGTTTCTATACCCTTGGATTTCTTCCAATCTGATAAGAGATGGCATTTCAGTGTAGCTTAAACTTGCATTCTCCTTGTTATGAGTGAAGCTGAGTTTATTTTCATATGTGTAAGAACTTGTTATTATTTCAATGATCTATTTATGTCTTTTGCCTATTTTGTCTCTGTCTAGAGGGTTTTAAAATGTATTAGCATAATTAGCCTTTTCTGATGTAAGTTGCAAATATTTTCAATTGTCATTTCCGTCGATTTTTGGCTGCTTATGGTGCTTTGTTATGTAAATATTTTTTAAATTAAGTGGTTAAATTTATAAGTCTTTTAGTACTTCTGGATTGTGAGTCACAGAAGAAAAGACTTGCTACTCCCAGGTTAAAAGGAATTTATCTATGTTTCATTTTAATCTTTGTATAGTTTAGTCTTTCAAATTTAAATTTCTATTGCATTTGGAATCTTTTTCTGATGGATAGTGTGAATTATGAACACAATCCTGTCATTTTTCAAATGTCTATTCAGTTGTGCCAATACCATTTATTGCAAATCGATCTTCTCCCATCTAATTTTCTCTTACAAAATTTCCAAGTATACTTGGTTCTATTTCTAGATTTTCTACTCTACCCACCTTTATTTTGTCTATCTATGTGGCAACAGCACTGTTTTCCTTCACCCTGGATCCCATGCCTTTCCACTCATTCCTGTGAGTCCATTTCCCTGCTTTCTATCCCGTCCTCAGCACTGGGAGGATGATATGAAAGAACTGCAGTCAAACTTTTGTCTTTGATTTTTGGTTGATTTCTTTAAATTTTATTGTAAAGATAGTAAAATACAACAAAACAAGACAGAACAAAGCCAATCAAACAATGCAGTGAAAATGGTACAGCACTTCAGAGCAAGATACCGGGATATTAATAATAGTTATCATAGTATATCTCTTTATCTTCACAATAATTGTCCATTCAATCAGGAATAGCAAAATCAAACCAAAAACAGAACACTATAAAACCAATCAAAACAGAATATTGAATAGAACAGAGCAATTAATCAGAACAAACCAAAACTGTGAAAACATCAAAGAGAATATACAAGGAAATCCCTTGTATTTGCCGTATTGCATACTGTCATCCTCCCAAGAGATGCTCAGACCTCTGGCCCCAGGTCAGCATAATCAACCCAACAATAAAAGTATTTAGTTGCTCTATGTGCCTCAGTTGCTATCAACCCAGGCTGATCTGGAGGCAATCCAGTTGCTAACAGGGATGGGGGTGGGCATGGGACATTTGATTCTCACTCAGCGCATGCACCAGTAGCCTCACGGGAGACACTGGCTTGTTTTCTCCATGATGTGTCAGTGGCTTGCACCACTTACCAGGAGGGCTGGCTCGTTGCTTTCTTGGTCAGTCCCTCAAGTTGCAGCATGGCTGATTCTCAGGAGATGCTGACTTGTTCTCTCCCTCTGGCTGATTTTGGTTTTCGGAGATTGCTGAAGAAGACAGGAAAGAAAGAGAGGAAAGCAGAGGTACTGATTCTCCTGGCCTCTCTCTGAGTGCTCCTGAATGTGTCTGTAACCCCTGACAGAGGTCAGTGACCTCTAGAGGCCCCTCAGTCCCCTTGTTAGAACCAACTGACCACTGCCTCCTCTCCCATCCTTGGAGCCTCTTTGATGTTCAACAATTTGAGAGTTAGCAGGGAAACCACACAATTCCTTGTGATTTCCCTACACCTTGCCCACATTTTACAACTGAATTTTATTAAACTATTTTTAGTTATTCTAACTTAGAGCATCATGTGTTTTCTCCTCCACTCTAACAAATACACAGAGCTTATGTGCGCTTTATATCTATATCTATCATTCTATCTGTCTGTCTTTCATCTATTGAACTCATCTGACTCATTTGCACCCCTCTTCAGGACTTTCATGGGTATTCTTATCTTTTCTTCTATAAACTTTAAAATAAATTTGAGACTCTGTTTTAAAATGTTGCTATACCTTTCAACAGAATTGTTAAACGGCTTGTTACTTTGGGAAGAGTTTGCATCTTTGTAATGCTACATTAGTTTAATCAAGATCTTGATGCTTTTATTTTATTACAACTAGAAATGTACACTAATTGCACAAATTAATGGGTTTAACTGTGACATTTCCATACATGAATATATCAAGCTCTAATCATATCCACCTTCTCCATGCAATTTAGTATCCCTAATATAGATTTGTACATTTCATACTCTTATGACTTGGATTTAGAATGTCCCTCAGAGACTTGTGCATTGATTGTTTGATTCCCAATATAGCAGTGCTCAGAGGCAGTGCCCTGGAAGGTGATTGGATCATAAGGGCTCCACCTTCATCAGTGAATTATTGCATTGATGAGATAATTTAATGGTATTATTGGAAGGCGATGGAAATTTAGGAGATGGCATCTAGTTGAAGGGAGTGGACCAAGGGAACATAACCTTGGGAACTACATCCTGGCCTCAGCCCATTCCCTCTGCTCCCCCTCTCTACCTTTGCTTCCTGTTCACCATGAAGTGAGCAGCTTCCCTCTGTCATTCATTTCTTTGCCATGGTGTTTCTGACTCATTACAAGCTTGACAGCACTGGAGCCAGCTGAGCACTGACTGAAACTTCTGAAAACATGAGACAAAATAAACCTCTCCTCCTTTAAATTGATTTTCTCAGGCATTTTGCTATAGTCATGGAAATTTAACCCCATATGAAGTGTAATTTTAAGTATTTTTAAATTCTTGATATTTTTCATGGGACCCTGCCCTCTGCTTGTCCTTTAGTTATTATTATTTAGTTTTGGAGGCCATTGTTTTTGCATTTTACACTTATAACCTTCCTTTTACAAAGTTATTATTTCATCTCAATTTCTCTTCTATTTTTGTTTATAATGCAAAACATTTAAATTTTATTGGTATAAATTTTTCCATACAAATTACAATCTAATGTATGCAATGCAATTTTTAAGCATAGTTACAAGCTTTTGCAACTATCAGCACAATCTAGGCTTAGTACACTTTTATAGTCTCTAAAAAATACTTTAGATCTACTAGATTTCTCTTCACTTGAGCCTCATTGCCTAAGAAAGTCCTAAGAAATCACTAATTTGCTTTCCAACTCTGTAGCTTTATGAGTTCTGGACATCTGCCATACAAATGGAATCATACAACTCTGTTAATATCTTCCCTCATATAGTATGCTACATTAAAGTACACATATGTTGTAGTTCATATCAATAATTCATGATTAATTTCGTTGAGTAATATTCCTGGGTAAAAAAAAATAACCTGAATTATCCATTGATTACTTATTAATAGACATTAAGGTTGTCTCACCATTTTGCTGTTATGAATCAAATTATTATGAATATTTGAGTACAAGTTTTTGCATAGGTGTATTTTTATTTATCTTGGATATGTCTAAGAGTGAAGTTTCCTGATTGTATTGTAAATCGACATTAAAACATTGAGAAACTGCCCAACTATTTTCTAAATTGGCTGCCCCCATTTACTTTCTTGTCTGTGATGTGTGAAGGTCCAATATATCCATCTCCTCCACATTTGTATATGTGCGCAAGATAGGCTACTATAATTGTTAGTCCTGGGAAGTTCTTAAGCCAGTATCCTTTGCTTGCCCCATAAGCAATGTTTAGGCACCAGATCTTCTGGCTATCTCTATGTCTTTAAGTAAGATGAAGTGTCTTTCATTAGAGTGTACCATTTCTGAACTATGTCACCAGCTCTAGGGCCCCATCAGACTCTGTATTGTTTCTTTATTTTAAATCAAATTTATTAGTACAATTTAAATACAAATAAATATCATACTCATCATAGGGAATTTGTACCTATATGTAATATATTTTGATTCCTCTTTTTCCCCAGTTCCCTCTCCTCACTTCAACATCTCTTCCCCTCCATATTAACAATGTTTTGTTTCTAATTTATCTTTTTATTCTTTTATTATTTTCTCTTCTTTCCTTTTCCCATTCCCCCTCTCTAATTCCTTTCTTCTTCTGAACAGTTTCTTCCTGTCTCACAATATCCATTGTGCATTTTGGTACTTATTTACTCTTCCAGTTTCTCACACCAAAGAGACAATGAAATGCTTCCACACAAGTGTCCAGGTTAATTCACTTAAAAGTATGCTCTCAAGGTTGCATTCATTCACCAAGAAATATTTCAAGTTTATCCTTCTTTATGTCTGAGTAGCACTTCATTGCATTTTAAAAAGCCATGTCTTCTTTAACCATTCCTTGGTTGCTGGGCACTTGTGTTGTTTCCAAGATTTAGCTATTACAAACTGAGCTGCTATAAACAGGGGTGCTCACATATTGCTGTCGTATTATGTATTTAATTCTTCCAGGAAGATACTCAGAAGGGGAGTAGCTGGGTCAAATCAAACCTCTAATTCTAATTTTTAGAGGAATATTCTAAGTGATTTTCACACTGAATGCACCAGATTAAATTCCACCAACAAAGGAAAAGTATTCCTTTTTCTCTACAACCCTTCCTGAACTGGTAATTGGTTGATTCCTTGATGGTAGTCAGTCTTTCTGGAATGCAGTGGCATTTCAGTGTTTTAATTTGCATCTCTTGAATGATCAGTGATGTTGTAAATTTTTTTCATATACTTATTTCTGCTTGTATTTCTTCTGCTGAGGAGTGTATATACATCTCAGATGCCCATTTTGGGACTGAGATTTTAAATTTGGGGGGGGAAACATCTGATTTTTTCAATTTTTTATATTTTCTAGATATATGTTTATCTGAGAAACAACTGGCTAATTTTTTTTCCCACACTGTGAGTTGTTGTTCCACTCTATTGGTGATTCTTTTTAATAGGAAGAGATTCCATTTTTTGACTATTTTATTATTTCCCATGTGACTGGAGTTTTGTTCATGAAATCTTTGCCTACAACTATATCTTTGAGTTCTGCCTCTTTTCTCTTCCAGCAAATTTAGTGTTTCTGTTTTAATGTTTAAATCTTTGATCCAATTTGATTTTAGTTTAGTACATAGAGACATAGGTCTAGTTGTAGTCTTTGGCATGGAGAAAGCCAGTTTATCCAGCACCATTTATTAAAGAGTCTATCTTTTCTTCCAGAAAGCTGTCTTCTTTGGTCCTTTTGTGAAATATAAGATACCTGATGGTGTTTGGAGTTGTTTCTGCATCTTCTATTCTATTCCATTAATTCTCAGGTCTATTTTTCTGCCAGTGCCATGCTCTTCTAACCACAGTAGCTTTGTAGTAGAAATTCAAGTCAGATATTTTGATGCCCTCTCCCTTGCCTTTGTTGCTCAGAATTGCTTTGACAACTTTAGGTTTCTTCTGGCTCCAAATGATTTTGAGAATTATTTTCTTTAATTTTTTTTCTTCCAGTGAACATGTTTGGCTCCTTTGTCAAAGGTGAGGTAGCTTAGTGTGTCTATAGTTGTATATGCATCTTTTGTTCTGTTCCATTGATCTTCGGGTCAGGTTTTTTTTCTTCTTCTTTTTTCTTTTGACCAGTACCATGCTGATTTATCATGGTACTTTTGTAGTACAATTTCAGGTCAGGGCTTGTGGTGCCCTCTGTATTGTCTTTGTTGTCCAGAATTGTTTTTGCTATTATAGGTATCATCTGGTTCCAAATGAATTTTAATAATATTTTCTCTAGTTCTGTGAGATATGCTAATGGGATTTTGATTAGAATTGCATTAGATCAGTATAAAAATTTTGCTAGTAGGGCCATTTTCACTATGTTCTTTCCATTCATGAGCAAGAGATCTCTCCATTTTCTGATACCCTATTCACTCTCTCTTTTCATACTACTGCAATTTTCAATGTATAGATCTTTTATTTGCTTTCTTAGATTATTTCTTAAATACGTCACTTTTTGGGTGCTTCTTTAAAGGGTGTCTTTCCTTAATTTCTGTCTTTGTGAATTGGTTACTTATGTATAGGGATGCTGTTGACTTTTGAGCATTGACTATGCATCCTGCTATGCTTCTGAATTTGCTTATTAAATCTACAAGTCTTTTGGTGGAGCTTTTGGGGTCTTCTATGTAGAGTATCTTTTTAATATTTTAAAGAGGGTAAAACCAAGAAAAAATAAAACGAAATAATACCAATCAAAAATCAACCAATATGAGTGATATAGGACTTCAAAACTTTATACAAAAGCAGCAACAGATAACGTAATGCCTTTTGTTGTCTTCAAACTAGCTACAGCTACTTCCAGAAACAGTAAAAATTGAAGAACACAGAATAGAATAAAAATACTAAAGTCAAAACAGTGAATGCAATAAAAGACTTCAAAACAAGCCACTAGTAAATCCAAAATGGCTACCATAATAGTTCTTGTTCTTTCAAATATCTACACATGCCATCAGATTTAACATAATCAAAACAAAAGAGAATAAAATCCATCCCAACAAAGCAATGAAAATGATATGATTTCCCAGCCAGGATCACTTCCTGGTGAGTCCTGAGTCTCTCCCTCAATAGTCCGGAAATGGTTCTGACTCAAGGAGAGAGGTTTGAGTGTGACTGTTCCCAGTCTGGCTGCAGCCTGCGGATGGTGCTGGTTTCACCTCCTGATGAGGCCCCTGGTTTTCTCCCTGCTCAGTCTGCAAATGGCACAGACTCACGGAGAGAGGCTTGGGTCTAGCTGTATGTAGAGTATCTTGTCATTCACAAATAATGCTAATTTTACTACTTCCTTTCCTATCTTTTTTATGCCTTTTACATTTTCTTGTCTAACTGTTCTAGATAATGTTTCCAGAACTATTTTAAGTAGGAGTAGTGATAGTAGATATCCTTGTCTTGTTTTTGATTTTTGAGTGAAAGATTTCAGGGTTTGACCATTTTCTATAATGTTGCCTTTGGTTTGTCACAGATGGTTTCATCAGATTGAGATAAAAAAAAACCATCTATTTTAATTATCTGTAGGACTTGATTCATGAGTTGGTGTTGGACTTTGTCAAATACTTGTTATTGAGATGATCATGTGATTCTTTTTCCCTCTGGCTCTGTGGATGTGGTGCATTACACTTTTTAATGTGTGTGAGTTTTGAATCATCCCTGCGTCCCTGGGAAGTACCGTACCTCGTCATGTTGTATAATCTTCTTGATGATTTGGTGCATTCTGTTTGCCAGTATCTCATTGAGGATTTTTGCATCTATGTTCATTAGGGAGACTGACCTAGAGTTTTGTTTTTTTTGTTTAGTTCTTCTCCGGTTTTAGAATCTGAGTAATACTTGCCTCCAGGAATGATTTTGGAAGTATTGCTTCTCTTTAAATTTCTTTAAAGAGTTTCAGCATTAGTAGCATTAGTTCTTCTCTAAATTTCTTGCAGAATTTAACAGTGAATCTATCAGGACCTGGGCTTTTCTTTTTGGTAGGTTTTAAACTACATTTTCAATTTTATTGACTGATACTGTGTTATTTAGAATTTTTATATCTTCTTAAGTTAGTTTTGGAGATTTGCTTGTGCGTAGTAATATGTCCATTTTTTTCTGTGTTTTTCATCTTATTGAAGTTCAGGTCCTTAAAATACAAATTGAGGATTAATAATCTTTTGAATTTCTGTAGGATTATTGTGATTTCTCCCTTTTCATTCTTAATTGCTTGGATTTGTGTTTTATTTCTGCATCTTGTCATTTTCTGTTTTTTATTTTCCTTGTTGATGTTTGTATATTTCTTATGACAGATAACTTTATCATTTGTATTGATGATTCCCTAGGAAATATCTATTTCTTTGAGAATTCCTTTTGATATGGCTGGTTCTTGGTCTTTGTGTATATCCCCAGAATCTACTTTCCAAATTTGTTTTCAGAAACGAACAGTTTAAGCAATATAATGCTTCACCACAAGAAAATCCGATATAACAGTAGCTATCATAGTGTCTCTTTCCTTGAAATAATTGAGTATACCTTCATATACTATAGTATCAAACATAAAAAGACAATGTTAAACCATTCAAGAAAATGAAAGTATCACAGGGTGTTCAGAATCAACTAACAGAAAATGAACAAAGGTTACTATATTATCTCCTTGTCTATAAAACATTTTGTTTATACTATCACATACAATAAAATCCAATATGATTCAACAGGATGAGAAGTTGCTATTTGAGTCAGCACCAGTCCTCTGATACTGGAGCACAGTGATGATTATGATCCCAGACAATCACAGTGTTTCATAGAAGGGAGAAAAACTAACTATAACAGGTATAACATCCTGGCCAAGGTAGTAGAATTAAAAATAGGAATATCATGAGGCACAGTCTAGCTACGGACAAACTGTGTAACTATTGACCTGAAACCTTTAAGCATAAGAGCAACTTCTACAGTTGGATGACAAAATCCAACATATACCAGGAATTTGTAGGCAATGATTTTTCCCTTAGTAAAGTGGCTTTACCCTGTGTAAGGAGATTTGAAAGGAATAAGAGGCAAGATAGAGATGAATGAGGCCAGACTTGGTAGAAGCAAGGCTGGGGGCAAAGGATGATCACACAAGTTTTGGAAAGTGGGATTTACACAGGAGAAAAAGAATGCCAGAGAAAGAAAAAGAATATTGAAGTGGACTAGAAAGAAAAGAGACAATAAGTATATCATTAAATAAAGAGAGATAGTTGGAGGAAGAGAAAGAAAATGAATAAAAGAAAAATAACAAGCCTAAATAGCGAAAAAAGAAAACAAGAAAGAAAGACTCAACCAGACAGAAAAATGAAAACCAATCAAAGGAAGAAAGCAAAGAAAATTCCTCCAATGTCCACAGCTCTGTGGTAGTGTCCAAGCTAGATCGCAGAAATATGCTGGGTAATGCCACCAGATTTGCAGTGGGATTTGTGCTGGGTGAGATGCTGACCTAGGCCTCGGATGTGGGAGATTCATTCATCTGAAGAGGACCATCTTCTGGACAGCGCCTTGTCCCTATCATGACTGTCTCTGCAGTGCTTTCCAGTTGCTGTAGTGCCCACAAGTAGGGAAAGACCAGGGTGACTCCCAGACTGACTTGTAGTTGGCTCTTCCAGACTTTGCACAGTTTTTTCTGTTCCATACGACTGTGTCCTTTTACACTTTGGCCATTCAGTGGGAGAAGTGCCCTTGTCCTGCAGCAGGCCAAGGCTGCTTACCCACTTATGCTACCAGGCTGAAGTCACTACTGATCTCAGACTGGTTGATGCTTCCAGTTCTTTGTATTTAGGACTGAGACTAGTTTTTGGTGGCCTTCAGTGTGGAGTGCAGGTGGCCCCAGATCCCCTACCTCTCAGCAGAATTCTTCCTGTCTGCCTCTCTCCTGCTGTGACTGGATGGCGCTTCCCTCATTCTACTCTGGGACATTGGCAGTAAGTGACCCAGGACCGTTCTCCTGCTGGAGTTTACCCCCGAGCTGTTTGGAATAAGACAGCAGTCCTGCCTGCCTGCTTCTGTTGTCTGTGTAGCACAGCACAGTGCCTGTTCACCTCCCTCACAGGCTGCTGGCTCAGATTCTCACTGCTGCGTCAGACTCCTCCACACCGCTGGTCCCTGCCTGCCAGTTTATGCCACACTGAGCCAGGAGTCCCACCTGCCCTCTCCAGTCTTTCTCATATTTCCCATCATTCCCATCAGATTCTGCTCCTTGGAGTGGATTCTGACTCTGCTGATATTAAATATTTTTTCTGTAGAACTGATTACATCATTTGCATTTTATTCATATCGTAGGAACAGAATGTAGATTCTGTCTCTCTCTCTCTCTCTCTCTCTCTCTCTCTCTCTCTCTCTCTTTCTCTCTCTCTCTCTCTCTCTCAGTCATCTATATCTTGGCTTTCAAAAATGCATGGAGAAACTCTAAGGAAACATCATTACCCTACAGTACTCTATAATTTAATGTGGACCTCTTAACTTTTGGCTAGATTTATGTTTTAAGCAAGGAAGGTACCATCCCTTGAAAGTAGTGTTTCTGCCCTATTTATCCGATTCCATCAATTGCAGAGTCAAGCTGGTATAGTTTGCAGCCATGATATTTTTGTGGAGACAGGAAAATTCATTGACCCTGTTCAAATACTGTAAATATTCTTAACATATTCCTGAGAGAAATGAATCTTTTCCTTTGCCCTTTGAGGTTCTCCCAATTAAATGTGATCTGAATCACTTGCAAGAAAAGCAGTATCTAACTGCAAAGTAACAATCACCAATCCCCACTGTTGTGAATCAGCAACCCTCTCACAATCGCTAATGCCTTTACCTGTAATGGTTAGTGGTCATGAGAGCTTGGCAATCAGTTGCTTAATAGCTTTGTCTTGTTCCTGAAATAAGCAGTAAGTAGAGACTGGGTTAATTAAAAATGATCTGAAAATGTAAAATGTTGTTTCTTGCAAACTAGGAGCCCCACAATGTTTTCTCATCTTAGGATGGATATGCTTGTTTTCTCACCCCAAATAATGCTTTCACTGCATTATTCTTGTGTTTCCAGTTTAACTCTATAAAATCATGCATCTTCGTACATCAAAGATGATCACTTTTTTGTGTTTTTATTACTATGTTTTCCATACAAAATGATCACATTCATCATGGAGAATCTGTACCTGCACATAACGTATCTTAGTTCTGCTGTCCGGATTCCATGCCTTCCATGAAATTTGTTCCCTTTCATGCCTTTGTTTTCATTTCATGCCTTCTTCCCCTCTCCATTTCCAAAAGCTTTGTTTCTATTTTTTTCCTTCCTGTTTACAGTAGCACAATTTCTAGTAGTCAAATCTCAGAAATAGCCCATTTACCCATCAACAGAGTAATGAATTTTAAAAATGTATTTATATACAATGGAATACTATGCTGCCATAAAGATGAATAAATGTAAGACATTTTAGGTAAATGGATGTATCACAAGACCATAATCTTAAATGAAATAAAGCAGACACACAAATTTAAATATTCACTGTTTTTCTTATGTGAGAAACCCAAAGGGTAAATGAGGGCCAAAATGGAATATAAATATCGGGAAGTAGGGGAAAAATTTGTTCAAATGGGAAAGAGAACAAATGAGGCGAGAAGAGGAAGGGAAGGAAGAGTAAACAGATGTTTTTAAAAGGTGAGATAGATTTTGAGCTCCCGCCCCACTTCAGTAGCCTGCCCTTTGGGAGTTGTACTTTTGAGCTATCTTTACTTTCATTCCCTACATCATTAGCAAGAATTATGACTTTTTGCATTGCATTCTGAGTTCTAAAAAGTAGTCCTTTCTAGATGGTTAAGTTGTTAATGACTAAATAATCTTTAGATTTATAGAAGCCAGAACATTTGGTGACATTTAGAGAGTTCTTCCTTAGTTTTTGGTTTTGTGTATAACTAACATGAAGCTTACAAATGGCTGTGAACTTTAACTTAAAGCATAACGCTTTATTTGTTTGAACAAAATAAAGAAACTAGTAGTAGGAAGTATGATGTTATGTCCAGAAGGGAAAAAAAAGATAATGCATGCCCCAGATGGCACAGACGCAGCCTGACATTCTGCCCTATTCCGCCTTTCTCTCTGTATGAAAGCTCTCTGTGTCCATGAGATCTGCTAAAACAGAGCTTTGAAGGTGATAGTTTTTTCATTCTTTTGGGGGCTTCCTTTGAATAAATCTGATTCCTTTCTACTAACTCAAATATTGGCATTTGAGCAGTGACCAGTACAGATGTATTCTGTTAACATCTTCAATGCAAGTGTAGGAACAAAAAAAAATTCTCTTCACCCTAAAAATTCTCTTCATCCAGTGTTTGATTCTATAAAATAAACTGAAAATAAAGCAAATGAACAAGAGAAAGAGCATTCAAATTTATTGTGTGTATAGGCACAGGAGCATTTCAAGAACGAAAAGTAAGGACTCATCAATGAGATTTAGAGGCTTACATCACTTCTTAATATGGGAGGGAGGAATGAGTGGTGAAGGAAATTTTAAAGGAAGATTAAATGGCTTTGGGGGAAGATAAATGGAACCGACAATTGTCTGGAAAAAGGCTTGTCTGGACTCTGGGGATGTTATCCCCTTTAGTCTTCTTTCCTACTAAGTTGTCCCTGTTTTATGGAAATACGGAGACAGGACTCACCACAAACACACTCTTTCTGCTACCAAAGAGATAGGAGAGAGAGAGAGAGAGAGAGAGAGAGAGAGAGAGAGAGAGAGAGAGAGAGAGAGAGAGAATGTTCAGAGCCTTTGATTCTGAGGCCTGTTCTGCAGTTCAAAGTACCTAGCATGTCAAAGGCCATACTTTGGACATCTTTGTTTAAGTTCTAATATTGCAAAATAAATTCCCAGCTTCTCATGATAGGATATGTCTTTGTGATCAGGGTGATGCTTACCAATGAGGTCTCTATCCAAATACCCCAGTTACTGCTGTGCTCTTCACAGGCCTGGACCTCCACTCATGTAATTCCCTTGCTTGTATGGCTTTCTATGCACTTGAGCACTGTGAACATCTTTTCATAGTCAATTTCAGTGAATCTATCCCTACTCTCCCAGCCTGGGAGGATGTCTATCCTATTTGCTCAATCGCTGTGCTCTCTTGTATAATTCTGAACATTGGTCCCTCTGTCTCCATGTATGTGTCTTCTGGCCTCTTCTATGTTATGGGCCTCCTGAGAGCAGGAGTCAATGTTTTATTATTCTCTATAACCCAAGGGACTAGTGTACTGCCTGGCATTTGGGACACTCAGCAAACACTTGAATAAATGCATGCATGATGAATCTAAGAGTAACCTTTAGCACTGTTTAATCCCTCGCCCCATTAAGTTCATGCCCAGTTGCCTCTCTGGTTCTATTTACCTGTATTCTGCAGGACACTGGCTCAATGAGAATGGTTTCATGGGAAAAGTCCATGGCCACCGATAATCATAGCTTTGGGGATGGACACTCAATATCATTAAGTTCCCTCTTTCTGTGGTCCCCAGTGTGTTCTTTATACAAATAATTTCTTCAGTACAATAAGGTGTTCCTTGAAGAAAACATTTAATGATTAAGTCAGTTTCTGAAGCCCTGAGATCAAAAAATAATAGGAAAATGGGTTTTAGTACTGAAAGACTTCTCAGAAACTTTAGTACACTAATGATTCTGGGTATTGTCACTACCTAACAGAGGTGTTTAATACACAGGTAATGGCTGATTCACCTCTAGCAAAAGACAAAGCAACAAGAGAAAAGTGTAACAAATACATTTGATCATAATTTTACATACACAGAAGTTTTATTATTGAAGATCCAATGATACAAGAAAAGCCCTGATATTTGATGAAACATGATTAACCATGGAGAAATGTGATTGGGTGAATAGTATAGGATAGTGGAAAAATCTCAGCAGAGAAACTCAGTGAAGTCTCTTTGTTTATATTCTTCTCAGCCCCTCAATTGCAGCATTTCACTGGGGCCGAAGAACTCTCTAACTGAGGGTCCTGACTTCTTTGTGCAAAACTCTTACACAGAAATGTGGGAGAAAATTATGATAGTATTTTTAGGTCTATAGCTGACTTTAAGGAAAAGGGATTCTGTTTCTATGGTTTGTTTGAGAAAAGCAATTATGATTTGTATTACATGGCTCACTGGAAAATGAAGACAAAGTCAGAAGGCCAAGAGAAGCTTTGCTTTTGAGGTGATTTTTGAAGGTGATTTAAAAGTATCATTTTTAAAGCTCCAACACTGATAAATGCTGTGTATTAAACACCTCCTTTAGGTAGTGACAATACCCAGAATCATTAGTGTACTAAAGTTTCTGAGAAGTCTTTCAGTACTAAAACCCATTTTCCTATTATTTTTTGATCTCAGGGCTTCAGAAACTGACTTAATCATTAAATGTTTTCTTCAAGGAACACCTTATTGTACTGAAGAAATTATTAGTATAAAGAACACACTGGGGACCACAGAAAGAGGGAACTTAATGATATTGAGTGTCCATCCCCAAAGCTATGCAATGAGTTATTTGCACAGACAGGAAAGGTGGAGTAATCACTGGCTCTTGATGAGAAGGCAGTGTTGGCTGTCCTAAAGGAGATTCCTATTCCAGATTCTGCAGGAATTTGGAGTACTACACACTAATGGTCATATTTACATGCCCCCGCTATCAAGACCTTTTATAGTGCAGATGTTGAAACTCATTTCATGCCAGGCTGTGGTCTGGTATCAGTCTCAGACAGACCCCATGTGTTCAAAATCACCAGGAAATAATTCCTTTCCATGCCTTTTAATTCTATCTCCTGTTTGGTTGCATTATCAAGCAGAGGTAAAATGACCACTACTCAATTTACTTCTAACTATACACCTATACACTTCTAAGTACATCTAAGTACTTTTCTGACCCAAATGCTCCAGTAAACATCTCAGAACTGTTTCTAATTAAGTGAACTTGATTCATTTCCCTAATCTTAAGCCAATCCACTGTGGCTAAGGGCATGTAATTTCTTATGAGAACAGGACTAGTTCACAAATCCTACCTAGAAGTAGAAAGATGGAATCTTTCTGCCTAAGCCAGGAAGATGTGGTACTTAGAGAAGAAAGAGTTTTGAAGGAAAACAGGCTTATATCACCAGATGAAAGGATCCAGCCCAGGTGAAATGGCAAAGCATCACCTCTGAAGAAAAGCCCATCTGTAGGTTGAGGCAGACATATGGGCACCATTCTACCTCTTTTCACTGCGTTATATACAAGTCCTCCCCCTGTAAGGTGAAATTTAAGTCTGGTGAAACAAAGTCATTTTCTCAAAGTCACTTGCAAGTCAATGAAGGAGCTACCCATTAACCTAAATCTCCTTGATTCTAAAGTCTATGCTGCTAGGCCTTGGGCTGAGTTGGTTAAATCACTTTTATATCAGCTCTTTATTTCTATCTGAGTACTCTTTTCACTTTACAGAACATTTAAAATTTCTTTCATTTTCTTTTCTTAATCATCACATCTCACAATAGTAAAAATGAAAACTGGGTCCTTTGAAATTTCTGCACTTTCAAATGCTTCACCTCCTCCTCCCCAAATCTGTTCTCACTGAAACAACAGTATCAAGTTTCCAGCAAGTAAGCTAGGAGCCGGGAATGACTTGTTTGAGCAGATTGCAATGCTTCTAGTGGACAAATTGTGTGGTGGGCTGCAGGGGCACTTAGTGTGTCCGTTCTCTCCCAGGTCTTCTCAGCCACTTTCCTTTCTATTCATATATCTCTAAAACTTATCCTAGAGTCAATTAGGAAACATGATGGCTTCTCCCAAGTGAATTCTCTGATAAGTCCCTCCCCTCTGCTTTCCCAACATTCCCTGTGGTTTCAAGCTTCTTTCCCTAACATCTGCACCTTTCACTCTACCCATATCCTGCTCTTGACACGCACTTCCATGCTGAAAGTCTTTTAGATAATGTGGAGCTCAAAGAGCTTATCAATGCATG